CAGTTTAACCCTCACCGGGTGTTTCCTCCTCAAGAGTATTGATATTTTACATAGACTTTGTTACTATAAACAAGCAAACTGATAATGTCCAAGGTTGTGACCCTGTGCTGGTGTGCACAGACCAAATTACCTAGTTTATTATGGTATTAAACAGGATATTAAAAGATTAGTTCACCAGTTATCGGATTTGAAAATAACCTCACTGGCTTCCTAGACCAATTTTGGGTTTGTTTTAGAGGATACCAGTAATTAAAAACTACAAAATTGGTATCTCGGGTATTCACCTGTTGTTCTATTGTACTTGAATTGGCTGTAATTACATTACAACAACCTAACTGTAATACTATTGATAATAGGACACCTACACAATATTCAAAGAGTGCAATTGCGGTAAATACAATTCAGAATGAATCAGAGGTACTTCTACAACTGAAAAGAATATTTAAAAAAAAAAAACACCCATGAGAACCTGTCCATGGCTTTCGTTCATAAAGTGAGTCTTTTATTCTGCAGAACATTGTGAGTTATAACGGAGTCATTTGTTTACTGTAATAGGATTATGTTGTAACAAAGTGTCTGTTTGTACGAGCGGTAACCTTTTTTGTCAAACCATGCAGTAGACAGAATTAAAATAGGTGCTGATTATCGTATTTTATGAATTTTATTTGTGGAACGCTTGCATTGTCCCTCTGTTTCTTGCTGTGAATGTGGTCTGCGAGCCTCAGGTGAGCGTTTGTGGACTGGGTGTGTCGGATTGATTCAAAGCGCAGGTTGGGTAACAGCCAGAGACTAGGGGACAGATTCTTTCATTCCTTCTCCCTCGGGGTTTGGCAAGTGAACACAGGCATGACAGCAGAAAAATTGCTATCGGTGACCTACGCCCTCCCGTCAATCACTCGCCTGGTTCATTCACACATTCTGCTGTCAGAAATTCTTGCGAAATGTTTTTTTTTGCGGTTGAATAAAAGCTTTTCGGGTTGATGTCGTTTCGTATCTATGACTCTGCTTTCCAGATGTGGTGAATGAAGCCACAGGCTGATTTCTGCAATTACCGTTTTTGCCATTTCTGTTTTGTGCTTGTCATGTATACTAAATAAAGGTTCCTTACTGACATCGATGGTTCCGTGAAGAACATTTAACATCCATGGAACCTTTTCGCTGCACAAAAGGTTCTGGTTCTTTAGATTATTCAAATGTTCTTCACACTAAGAAAAATGTTTATTTTAAGAACTGTTCACTGGACGGTTCTTCTATGACATCATGGCATAAAGCCCCTTTTGGAACCTTTATTTTTAAGAGTGCATAAATGTTAATAAATGTGCACTCAGTGTTTTCCTATGCTGACATCTTTAATCTATGTTTCGATACAAGACTAACATCACCCAAAAGTGGTGCACGTTCATGACTTGCTCCCCGGATTAGTCTGAGATAAGTAATATTCTTAGAGCTTGTCTCATCTTGTCTGCAGGAGTTAGTTGCCCTTTTAAGGTCCGTTGTTGGAACCGTTCTGCAATTGCAGTCCAACTGAGGAATGCAAGCCAATATCTCACACATGTGTCCAATAGTTTTCACCATAAACCATCCAGCTGCATACTGCTGTTGGGCTTTCAGTTAATTAGAATGAACCGTGGAATATAAGATGTGACTTTTCCACTGCTGTTGCCAGGGAGGGAAAGGAACTGTTGCTTATACTTTCCGAGCATTAACTTATTTTTATTGTGTAACTGGGAATTTTGTAAATAATATGTGAGCTTGTTGGCAATAAAAAAGGAAACAGCTATTATTTGTACAATAGCCCCAATAAGAATTGGAGCAGTTGAAAATATGAGTGGCATTGCGTTGCACAGCAAAATCTCAATATGTACAACTATTCAAACGTTTGGGGTCAGTAAGATTTTGTAATGTTTTAGAAAGAAGTCTCTTATGCTCACCATGACTGCATTTATTATATTGCAATGGTGTGTGTCCCCTGTAACATTTGTGGTTTTGACTCCCATCAGTAAAGCTCATGGCTATTGCCTTATAAGGTGCTGTAGAAATCTCAGAGTTGCAGGAACATGCCCTTGTCACAGTACACTTGATATGAAGTGCCAAAGGCAGAAAAACGCTGTGGACCTATGCAAACAAAGGCTTAGTAAAATAGAAATAAAACCAATAATGACCGTTTAACCCTCTATTGCATGCATATTCTTTTTAAAATAAATTTAAATAATATATAAATATATATATATACATATACTTTGCTGTGTACGAATTTTTAAAACAATTCGTATTGACTGTATCTCAGAGAATTAGCTTCTAGGTCAATGTTTCTATTTAATGTTTTCTTGAAGTTGGATAAATACTCAAAAGGTACCCTGGGTTTGTTACCCTGAAGCAACATCACGAATTGAAGGTTACGTGTGAGGAAATGTTGCATTGTGGTGATTTGAATATAAGGTAATATATGCAACACTTGTTCAGACAGAACTCTGTATGCAAAAACACTTTCTCTTCTAACTAAAGATACCCCACAAGCTCTAATGCAAACAAAGGAGCTTATGTGAGGAATCACTTTAGTCTATGGTGCATATCTTGAAATAATTATCTGATCACTGACTTGAAATATGTTGCAGAAGCTTTATTGGACAATTTTGCCAATGAAATCTGTGCTCCAGCTGGCTTTCTTACAGAAGATTACAGTGACGCGTTCCTGCTGAATCATACTTGGATGGATTTAAAACCATTTCCACAAGAACAAGCATACTCTGTCATGCACACTAAAAAAAGACCACACAATTAATGTCAATTAAAAATGTTATTTCTTATAAATGTTTTGAGCTTTTTACAGTTTCAATTTTATTTTCTTCATCAGTACACTTAAAAATAAAGGTTCTTTATTGGCATTGATGGTTCCATGAAGAACTTTTCACATCAATGGAAACTTTCCATTCCACAAAGGGTTATTTTCAGTGGAAAAAGTGGATGCAACTTTTCACTTTGATTTTACAGTAATTAAGTATTCAATTTTAATGGCTTGTTTTCACATACAAACTCAATGTGTGTCTCTAGAATTTGAGCACATTAAGTCTTTTTCCTAGAATTTTTCTTTCTACTCACCAATTATCTTCAAGTACTCTGAGCTCTATTCCCCTTCAGTTGGCTGTTTGTGACAGTATTAACACATGCAGTTTCTTTAGCAAACAATGTGTTGTTTCTCTCAGATAATCCTGCAAATAACTAGCATCTCATTTGTAAAACAAATGCTGGTGCAACTGGGAGTGTTGCCACTGGCTAGATCACCCACCCAGAAACATTTCTAGCAACACCAGACATGACGATTTCAATCTGTGGTCTGAGAGATTATCTTGTTTATTAAAAAGCATTTTTGTCTGAATTTGAAATGTTCTTGCATTTCAGATTTGATTGTCTCTCTTGAGTTGAAGGAATAGATTGCTCCAAAATGAAAATGTGCTCACCCTGAGGCCATCCAAAATGTAGATGAGTTGTTTCTTCATCAAAACAGATTTGGAGAAATGTAGCATTCCATCACTTGCTCACCAATGGATCCTCTGCAGTGAATGGGTGCCGTCAGAATGAGAGTCCAAGCAGCTGATAAAAACATCACAATAATCCACAAGTAATCCACAGCACTCCAGTCCATCAGTTAATATCTTGTGAAGTAATAAAAGCTGTGGTTTATAAGAAATAAATCCATCATTAAGGCATTTTAACTTCAAACTGTTGCTTCTGGCCAAAATACAAGTCCATAATAACACTTACTTCAGTAAAAAGGTCACATCAAAATCCACCAACATATTTGTTTTGAACTGGTTTTGCTTGAAAACCGTGCTTGATTTGTGCATATTTCTCTCCTGATTCAGATGGATGTAACGGTTTGAAGTTAAAAACGTCTTTTATGATGTATAACACACAGCGTTTCACTTCACAAGACATTAATTGATGGACTTGAGTCATGCGAATTACTTGTGGATTATTGTGATGTTTTTATCAGCTGTTTGGACTCGCATTCTGACGGCACCCATTCACTGCAGAGGCTCCGTTTGTGAGCAAGTGATGTAATGCTAAATTTCTCCAAATCTGTTCAGATGAATAAACGCATTCATCTACATCTGGCCTGAATGTGAGTAAAATTTCAGCAATTTTTCACTTTTCGGTCAACTATTCTTTTAAGTCAAATCCTCCTGACTCGAGCACAATAGTCTTCAGTGTTTCTGAAATGATCATTATCATGCCTTGCCTGATGAGTGTAGATAACCGAGTGATCCTGTGATCTTTCATATCTTTGTTAAACAACTGCTATTGATTTGTTAATGTGGCAGAAACTCCTGTTGCGACCTTTACATGCCAAATTCATAACACGGGATGTTTTCTATCTGGTTAACACAACTAAGCCCCATTTATATTCAGATGTTATCCCAAATCTTAGTCTCCATCCCTTTGAAGAGCGGATCACAAAAGATAATCCACACTCTTTAGTACTTTAGATAAATGCCAAATTCCAATTCATAGAACTGGAATAAATAACAAGAACAGGGCATAAGTGAAAGAAAGTGACGGTTTGAGTAGATCTTACAGTTTTTCTCGATTGCTAAAACACTATAACCAGGCTTTTGAACTAAAATTTCAAAACCATAACGCCATTTTTCAAAAAGCACATCCATTTTGCTGAACTGTAAACACTATTCCCCTGCTTTAACACATGAGTCAGATTTGGTGAACTGTTACTGCAAAACTCTACACACAAATCCCTACATTTCTCAGTGCTTACACCATGTGGTCATTTAGAAAGCACTAGCATTCAATACTGTTCACTCAAGTCAGCACAGCTTGAGCTCAATTAGCAAACAATTACCCAGGTGGAAACACTAAGAGTCAAAATTGAACACACATCAATCAGATCCTTCAATAAATAGATAAAAGGGCCCGAATCAGTTCACTGAGCTTTGGAACAATGGATCCAGAGAAATGAAGGAATAGGTCGAAGAGGAGGAGGCGGACGTGGTGGTGGAGGAGGAGGAGGAGGAAGAGGACGTGGTGAATGGAAGAGGGAGAAGAAGGGCAAGGAGACAAGCAGTCTCAGATGAAATTCGAGCCACTTTAGTTGACCATGTCCTTGTCCATGGTATGACCATGAGGGAGGCTGGGCAACGAGTACAGCCAAATTTGAGTTGCTTCACCGTCGCCTCCATCATCAGAACCTTCAGGGAGGAAAACAGGTAGGTGTACTTACAGTAAGACTGCTCTGTACAGTAACTTTAGAGTGCATACACTGTTGCACTATGCTACTGTAATAAAGAAATGCATCAAATTGCCTCGCATACAGATAGAGTTTCAGTATGTTTCCATTTTTTCCTGTAAAAAGGATGTGTGACAGTTACAGTAATGAGTGCTTATATTTTTGTAGGACACAGAGATGACCACCTGGTGGAGGCAGGCTAAGGCTTTTGTCAGAGGAGCAAGAGAGGGAGCTTGTAAACATGGTCATTGCCAATAATGTAATCCGCCTGCGAGAGATTCAAAGGAGAGTGATTGAGGATAATCATCATTTTCGAGGGATAAATGCCATCAGCCTCTCCACAATTGATCGTATCCTCCGAAAGCACCGGTTCCGGATGAAACAGGCGTACCGCGTCCCTTTCGAACGAAACTCAGAGTGAAAGACCAACGAGTGGAATATGTTCAGGTATGAGTTTTGATATCGTATGAAGTATTGTGTACCATCACAGTATAGCAGTTTATGCTGCCATTTGTGCCCTCTTGAACTGTGCTTCAGGGCAGTGATTTACTCTACTGTGTTTCATGTGTTTTGCAGAGAATCTTTGAGATTGAAGGCCGGCCTGTTCCCCATGAAATTATCTTTGTGGATGAGGCTGGTTTCAACCTGACCAAAAGAAGGAGAAGGGGGAGGAACATAATTGGCCATCGGGCTATTGTAAATGTCCCTGGTCAGCACGGAGGGAATGTCACTATGTGTGCAGCCATCAGCCAACGAGGGGTACTCCACCGTCATGCCATTCTAGGACCCTATAACACTATGCTCCTCCTTGCTTTCCTTGACGGTCTAAGAGAGCATATGTTCCAGCTGGACCTCAGGGAACCAGCACAGCCAGAGCAGCCTCGTTACATTGTTGTTTGGGATAATGTCAGCTTCCATCGCGCTGCTCTGGTTCGTGACTGGTTTACCAATAACCCGAGGTTTTCTAAATCTTTGGCTAGGGCCAATATAGCCTGTGATGTGGACGAGATTCTCTGGCCTGACCCAGAACAAAGTTTTTAACAGTTGTGCTGTGTAGTACATGAATGAATAAAAATGTGCCAATGTATACATTGGTTGTGTCTTTTGTGTTCA